TGCCCATTGCCCCTTGTCCTGTCCCTGCAGCTCCTAACACAGATCCCTCTGCAGCTTCCCTGGAGCCCCTTCAGCTCCTGGAAGTTGGCCTGAGGTCTCCACACAACCTTCTCTTTCCCAGGCTGAACAGCCCCAACTCTCTCAGCCTGTCCTCATCATTTCAGGACTATGCACGAATCATTACCCATTATACAACTGAACCTTCTTTCCCCTGGCTCACTTAGCATCTTACTTGCTGATGCCCAGAGGGAGCTCATTGACCACCACCCTCCTGCTCCAGGCCATGAGGTCCCTCTCGGTGGCCATCTGGCTCCTGGGCGCGTTGTGGTGCATCTGCCGCACGCCCTCGATCTGCCCACTGCGCCGCAGCCCCACGTTGGGCGGCGACGCCACGTCCAGGCCTTGGCTCCGCAGGGCTGAGGAGGGAAACAACACAGCTGCTTCACTGCCAGAAACCACTGAGGGTCAGAGAATCATGCAATGGTCTGGGTTGGAAGGACATTAAAGATCATCTCATCCCCCCCCTGCCATGGGCAGGGACACCTCCCACCAGTCCAGGGTGCTCCAAGCCTCATCCAACCTGGCCTGGAACACTCCCAGGGATGGAGCAGCCACAGCTGCTCTGGGCAACCTGTGCCAGTGCCTTACCACCCTCACAGGGAGGAATTCCTTCCCAATATCCCACCTCAGCCTGCTCTCTGTCAGTGTGACCCATTCCCCCTTGTCCTGTCACTCCAGGCCCTTGTCAATAGTCTCTCTCCATCTTTCCTCTTGATGGGCCCTAACAGAACAATCCTGCTGTGGTGCTGCAGCTTCGCCTGCTGCCACCACCAAGCTCAAAGCAAAGCACATCAGGAGTGGAGATATTCAGTGAGGCACCAAAAGGTGCCAAGGAGACACACCACATTCCTAGAGAAATACAGAATCATGGAATGGTTTGGGTTGGAAGGGACACTAAGGATCATCTCATCCCACTCTCTGCCATGGGCAGGGACACCTTGCTCCAGCCCAGGTGGCTTCAAGCCCCATCCAACCTGGCCTGGAACACTCCCAGGGATGGAGAAGCCACAGCTTCTCTGGACAACTTGTGCCAGCGCCTCAGCACTATCCCAGCAAAGCATTTTCCCCAATACCTCATCTATAATTTAAGGCTTAGGAACCACACAAGGATTCTGTCTTGTCAATAAAACACTTATTATAAGACTGAAGTGGCTTTTCCTTTGCTTCAGGTGAACATTGCTGTGTGTTGGCCTTGGGGATGTGTGTGCTACTCTGACTTCATTGTGGCTTGCTGCATCTCAGAGATAAATGAGGCAAACAGAACAGAATCTGTGAGAAAAGTGACCTTCAAATCAACTGCTTAAAGGCTCTAAAACCATGAATCTTATTCTATGGCAGAGGAAGAGATGAGGTTGACATCTAGAAGAACAGACTGCTGCAAGGTTTAAGGTTTCTGCTGTGCCTCCATTGCTTTTGTGGTTTTAATTCTTATCTGCTGTGCTTCTCTTGAGTTTCTCATCAATTCCACACACTCAGGGGAAAACAGACAATTCAGGTGGCCAAGAGAGACAGAAAGGCTGAGAACAATGGATTCAGTGCCCTCAGTGTCCTTATTTAGCTGATCAACACAATTCCCACTTGCTGAAATGCAGTCACACTCACGAATATACTGCATTTATGTTGTGCAAACCTACATAAAAATATTTTGTTGTTTAAATACTTTATACATTAGTTAGCTTAGAAAAATGGGCAATTCGTGTAGCAAAGTCACTGACCAACGCAAGGTCTAGAAGGGAACTGCTTTAACCCACACCACTCCTATCTGGAAATCCTTTCCACAACTCCAGGGACACACAAACAAAACTGAGAACTGGCACTGCACAACTTATCAGCCTAAGAGGGAGGAACGGCTTTGAGTGAGCTGCAGCTGCCTTCTAGGCCACCAATTTAGAGCAAAGCAAAAGTGTCTTTTCCACATCTTTCACTGCTCTTTTTCCTATTCCTTCTTGAATTTCAAGACAAACAACTCCAAATCCTAATGAGCTTGGCCAGGAAATCTACTTCAAACCTGTGTAATCAGTCACTTAACCTACACCTGACTCATTAGCAGCTGTGTATTCCTTGCAGCACAGCTCCTGAGCATCACTGCACTCAGGGAGCTGCTCACATCTGACTGAGTTGGGTTTAAATTTTTCATCGCTTTGTGTATTAAAAAGAAAATCACAGGGGCCCAACACTTTACCAGGAGAATCATCTCACACTTTCTAAGGAAGCAGCAAGACAGAGCAGGCATGTTTATTTTATCAACACTGCTGCCTAGCCTCACACTGCAGCAGGAAGATATTAGGCTGTCACAACACCATTCACTGACAGCCTCTAATTATATGCTGTTATCCTGACATTAGGTAGTTATGGAGTATCATCTCTGCACTGATATCAGGACAATACTGGGTGTTTTATGTTTATTTTTGAGGAGAATGGTTTAGGACAGGAATAATTCCAGTCTAATAGGCTGAGGTAATGAGATACAGCCCATGTAGATCATTGTGTGCCCTCAGCTGCATCTTCAACTTGCAATTCCTCTGCAGCATCCACAGGACATCCAACTGCTCCACAAAATGTGAGTAAGGTCAGGAGGGAGAAGCAGCCTCAAAGACTTCTCAGAACTGACAGGAACACATCCTGATTAGTACCTTCCTGTGCTGAAGGAAGGAGCTGATGAGACAAGGGTGGGACAACTCCGTTAACAGAGTTGAGTGGAGCGTTTGGAAGAGTTTCTCCTTCATTAATCAGTCTCAGCTCTTGCTCCCTCTGTAGCTCTCTGATCATTCCACCCAGGATACTCTCATCTAATAGCTCAGGGTCATCAGACACAGCCCAGGTAAGCCATTGTGTGCCCTCAGCTGCACCTGCAACTCCTAATTCCTCTGCCAGCATCAACAGAACATCCAACTGCTCCACAAAATGTGTAAGGACAGGAGAGAAAAGGACCCACACAGACTTTCTCTAACACACTTTGATTAGTACCTTCCTGAGCTGAAGGAAGGAGCTGGTGGAGACAAGGGTGGGACACTGACCTCCATTAACAGAGTGGGATCTGTTGAGTGGAGGGTTTGGAGGAGTTTCTCCTTCATTAATCAGTCTCAGATCTTGCTCCCTTTGCAGTTCTCTGATCATTCCATCCAGGATACTCTCATCTTGGTCATTTGTTTGCTGCCCAATGACTTGTTCCACCACTTCACCATCACCTTGACAAGAACAAAGCCACAAACACTTACCAAATAATCACAGAATATTCACAGTTAGAAGAGACCCACAAGGATCACTGAGCCCAACTCTTCGCCCTGCACAGGACATCCCCAATAATCACACCCTGTGCCTGAGAGCATTGTCCAAACACTTCTAAACTGTCAGGCTTGGGGCTGTTTTGCTTCATTTCTTTTACTGAACACCATAGAAACGACCCCAGTTAAAACTCTGCACCACTCTTTGTCTGCTCTGTGAAACATCTGATCACCAGCTGGATTTCTGCTCTCCTGAAATAAAGGAGGCAAAGTTTAAGAGAGAAGTTACAATAAAAGCCTCAAACTCCAGAGCACATGTGAAATGCAAACACAAACCCACAGGAACAGCAGAAAGTAATTAAGCTTCAGCAGGTAATAAGGGATGGGTTTGTTTCTGGAGATCAGCATTTTACAAAGGTTTATGTCTACCAGGAAAAAAATGGTTTAAAAAAATAAAAGCTGATTTTTCCATGTCTTTCTCACCTTCCTGCTTCCTTCCTCACATCCAGTTACAAAGGTTAATGGACAATGCTTTAATCATGCTGCCATGTATCTGGGAGAAGTCCACAAGCTTTGGAATACTCTTTGACTCCACACATTACCTTTATGCCATAAACCCTTTCCCACCTCTATATTGAATTCACATCACTAATTTCAGAAGACAAGTGAAACAAACAAATCCTATGGCACCACTGAATCACAGAATCAACCTGGCTGGAAG